TTTCTTTTTTTTTTTTTTTTTTTTTGTTGTTCTACCAGTCTGGGGATATGAAAGTGATTTCTGGTGGACCTTAAGCCATCAGTTCTAGTATGTAACCCTGTCCTGGTAATAACTAGTGGAAAAATACTATTTGCTATTGTTGATGAAGGCCTGATATTGAAGTAGCATCTAAACAGATTCTGCTTCTGTTCTGGATCCTGTTATAGCAAAAGATTCTGGGCTTGTTTAGCTTAAAGAAGAGAAGGCTCTGGGGAGACCTTATTGTGGCCTTCCAGTACTTGAAGTGAGCGTATAAACAGGAGAGGGAACGGCTGTTTATGAGGGTGGATAGTGATAGGACAAGGGGGAATGGTTTTAAACTGAGACAGGGGAGGTTTAGGTGAGATATTAGGAGGACGTTTTTCACACAGAGAGTGGTAACATCCCATCCCTGGAGGCATTCAAGGCCAGGCTGGATGTGACTCTGGGCAGCCTGGTCTGGTGGTTGGCGACCCTGCATGTAGCACAGAGGTTGAAACCAGATGATCATTGTGGTCCTTTTCAACCCAGGCCATTCTATGATTCTATGAAGATTTTATTTTTCACCAGAATTCTCCTGTGTACAAATGGTGGTTTGCGTGACATGCAGTGCAAAGGGTTGCACATAGGTGGGGTGATACTTGCTTTCAAGTAGAAGAGTCCTCAGAAGTGTTTTATCATTGTAAACATTCTTAGATAAAACTTGGGCTTCTAACCTTTCTCATATGGCCAAGTATTGTAGAAATAACAACTAAGAACAGAGGTCGGTCTCAGATTCAAAGTCAGTGTCAAACATTAGATCCATGTAAGTGCTTTGAACTGCAAGATGAACTTGCTTTCATCATAGTGATGATCTTTGCATTCTGTTTAATTAATTTTACAGCTAGTTTTATGTTACTAGAATGCAGTAATTCCAAATCTAAAGCAGTTAAAATGGACTCTGCGCCTCTTCCTAAAGCATGCAGATATGCATCGAGGTGGCTTCACAACACTGCAGTCATTGTATTATTGTGTGATATTTGAAAAGGTTTGTTTTTAAATGGAGAGGTTTGAGCACTTTGCACAATCTGTTTTTTACCACAGTCTGTTTCTCTACGTGTAAAATGAAACATCCCTACCAGTAATCTCCTGGATGAGCTCCTGTCTTGGATGGATGAATAGACTCCATTCAAATAGTAAATCTTCCAACCTATGTATTGGTCCTTTCAGCTGCCTTGAGAGCAGTGTACAAATTGCTCACAGCACTGAGGCAGTACAAAGGGCCTATTCTTATGTGTACTTGTTAGATGAAATATCTGTTTGAAGGCAGTTAATAGAGGTAATGGAAGGTTCATAAACTCCTTAGCTCTCTCTTTAATGTTTCAGAGATTACCTCATTTATTTCAGCAGATGTTTGCAGTAGCAGAGCTGTCAGCTGCTATTACATTGCATTAGTGAGCACAGTGTACTGATTAGGAAACTCCTACTATCCCTTCTGTACTTCTCCTCCTTCTCATCACCAGATCAGGTTGATTCTGTTATTGCATCAACACATTCAGTAAATGCTTACTTTTCATCTCAAATAATAATAATAAACAGCTGAAGTATTACAGTGTAATTTTTCAAAATGATTCTACTCCCTGATTTTCTTCGAGAAATTTTAATTTCCCCTCCTCCACATCCTGCAGTAGCTGATGAGACCAGGACTGTTTCCAAACGTGAATTTATTTAATACTATGCTAATACAACAAAAAGCTCAGTAATACAGGACAGAATGTTTTTATTCTAGAATCGTAATTCCATGTACAAATAAAATTTCTAATATATCTAGTATAATATATTTCTAATATATCACCTGATTTATTCAGTTGCTTTGTAGACTTTCTTGCTCAAGAACAAGTATTCTTCTACAAGAAACCAGTAAAGTAGCAGAATAAAACCTCTGGAGAATATAACCACATGAAGTTCCTAATTTTTGTACATAAAGTTCTGCAGGCTTACATTTTAGGTTTTTAGTTTCTAGTCATTATATTTCATTAATTCTGTTGGACATTCTGGTTTGTGGTCTTAGTATCTTGTTTAAGCATTCATGAGTTGATTGGCACATGATACAAACGGCATGATCTTTGTAGCCTTGGAACAGCTGAGGTACCACAGTTCTAAAACAGATATTTGACAGGTTTGCACAGCTGTGTTTATTCTTTTTGTGTTTAGGACTGGTAACAGTTAGCAGTGTCCAAGCAGGCATTAGACCTTATGCTAAATATGACTCTTGTTTCAGATTCCTCTGCAGTTTAGCCTGTGTCTTTATTTCTCTTTTTTTTTTATCTACAACTTCTCTATTCCTTTGACACTGTGTTCCTTTCCAGAGTTGATGCTTGGGATGAGAAGACCATCAAGGCACTGTGCTGCAACTGTTTTTGAAGCAGTCTGTATAGGCCACTTAATATAGCTACATCTCACCTCTAGGTTTCTTCTGCCATTGTGAGACAAAATGTGCTAGCTCTGGTATATGACGTAGCATTATTTTATGAAAGAAAACAAAAAGCACCATCATCGACAACAAAAAAAACTTCTGATGTACAGCATCATTAAAATTAAATGGAACTATTGAAGTATGTGGTAAATTAGAAGAAAATAATTTGGTATGATAACTACATTGCTGCTAATAGTGTTTTTTAGCTTTAGGTTACCAGCAGAAAAGTTTCTTTCCTGTTCGTGTGTTATTCTTTAAAAATAATTGTCTATCATTTCATTCCAGCCTACTAGTGCAACTGCGATCTTTCAAGGATTTAGATGTTGATGATCACATAAAAGAATTTGCAGCAAAATTATTTTTAATACCCAGCCCGCCACCAGGACCACTGCATTTGGTAATTACTGATGCTGAATTTCATCATTATTTTAACATGACATAAAAAAGCTCTAGGATGTTGCTCTTGTATAAACTGGAGAAAGTTCTTTAGTATCAGATCAGAGATTTCACCTGCTGGGATATAATTGATGTCAATACCCATGCTCTGAAATTAAGGCTGTGCATTATAAGTACAAGAAATATGTGACCAGGATGCAGGCTGGAGTACTGCCGTGTTTGTTAGTCATACTGTTTAACTTTTAATACTTTGCATAGAAAGGTTAAGTTCATCCCAACTAGTTACTATATGAGATGATGCCGTGGGTACATCTGGGCACAGCATAATCCAACTTCTGGTTTGCTGAGAGTCAGCCCATATAATCTCAGCTAAAAGCAGCTGGAAGCTCCAGTCTGCACCTGCTGTATATGAAAGGAAGTTTACCTTTTGCTTCTACAATATGCCACTGCCATCTCACTAAATACATATGCTTGAACACGAATAACTTATGTAACTGTATCACTTGACCAGAGTGTGGGAGTTCCCTGTCTTGTGCCTGATGCATATGTCATCATGGCTGTCATCTTGATTGCGTGTTGGATTGAGGTGCAGCTGTGTGACTAAGAAGTAGTGCAGCCCCTGTGGAAAAAAAGTGAGAGTAAAGAAATAAGTTGCTAGGACAACACATATCGTTCTGGACTTGTTTCTATCTTGTCCAAGTAGCTCTGGGGAAGCAGAGCAGTATGTAGTGAATTAAATGTTATGGTTAGGGTGGATTTGCTACTGCATGGAAAAGACCTAGCTGAGAAGAGAAACTCACATAAATGTTTGTATTCTGTGTAGAAGCTAAGATGCCTGGGTTGTATTTCTTTACAACCCTTCAAGTCAAGCTGGATGTCAACTGAGTTGATGATTTCAGCATGTTGTCTTTCACATAGCTGAAATAGTTCTAAGGAGGCATGCTTCATCTGTATGCTTCTCCTTAGCTGATTTCCTTGACCCAGGGATGAGGGGTTAAAGCAGAAACAAATAGCATAGCTGAAAGATTGGCTAAACTAGCTGCCAAGAGCTCAGAGATGCAGCATGTACAGTGTTCACCCCCCTGACATTTGAACAGGAATATCTGAAACATGGAAAGATATTGCTTGGTTTGTTTTGTTTTTGTCATCTTCATTTCAGTTCATGCTCAGTACTTTTGTTCATACTTTTCCTATTTCCTATATGAATTTTATCTACAACTGGGAAATCCAAAGTGTTTCTGCAAATATAGATTGCATTATCTTATTGAAATTAGAACAAGTAAGGTTTTAAAAGTCTGTTAAAATAATTCTTTTCAAGTTTTATTGGCTGAAGATCTTGCAGTTATGACAGGAGACAAAGTTAATTTCAATCTTTCAAACTAGGTGCTATGCCCTTTCATGTTTTCCGTTATTTCTATTTCCATTTTCTTCAGTGTGCTAATACCTGTAGTCTTGCAGTCAGTTGATTTTAATGTTTTGTAATTGGAAATAAAATTCTGAATTAAATGTGGTGTGGAAACACTTTCACTAAGAAATGGAAAACATCTGTTACAACAGGTATTTAATATGAAACCACTTCAAATAATTATTCCTTCACAAGAGGATCCGGACAGTCCAGTTATTGACTTGGATCTTCATCTTCCATTGCTGTGCTTCAAGCCAGAGCAGGTGCTGCAGGTAAACCCAGTTAACACTTTCAAATGTATTTGAGATTGGCTGTAGTGGAAATTTGGGGTTTTAAAAGGAAACAAGATGTTTTAGTTACCCAAAGAACATCACAAACCCAAGAATTCAGGAATGCCCATTCTTGAGCATGGAGTTTGTTTTACCTTTGTGAGATAACCCACATGTTTCAGCTAAGCCTTATCTTCATTGACATTTGTGGCACAACTCTTGCTGACATCCACTGTCAGTGTTTTTGTCTCTTCTTAGTATAGATTCCTAAGTGCATGTTATTTCAATTTAAAATGATATAAGGTAACTGTTGAAGCTGTTTTGGAAGCAGATGAAATATTTGTGTATGTATTGTATGTTCTGAGTATAACTCTTCACAAACATTTAGCTTTTTGTTCTTTTCAGATTATGACCTGTATTTTGACTGAGCGGAAAATGGTGTTCTTCTCTTCTGACTGGGCCCTGCTGACACTTGTGGCTGAGTGCTTTATGTTATACCTTCATCCCCTTCAGTGGCAACACACCTTTGTGCCTCTTCTGTCTCGTCATATGCTGGATTTTGTCATGGCTCCAACATCTTTTCTTATGGGATGCCATGCTGATCATTTTGAAGAAGTTAGCACAGTACGTTTTTGTTTTTGTTTTTTTTTACTGATACCATTGCTACCATTCTTGCTGCTCAGTTTCTATGCATTTATTTGCTTGCTTCTTTCAGATGCAGATTGGAATGTTTTTTAATTAGATATAAGAAATGAAGAAACTGAGAGTAATGAGGCTCCTTCTTATACCCCTTACCTTTCATTTCTTTGAAGAGTAATAAACACATGATTTCTGGAAGTTCTGTTTTCAATTGAGGAAAAATTCCACCTATGTACTGTTTGTGTATAAACAGTTTCCCTTCAGATCAGTGAGATTTTTTTTTTTTTGCTTAAAGATTTGTGTGGGGTGAGTTAGATGCCTATTCCAGGTTAAGAGGTGAGCATGTACTTGAAAATGTTCTAGTAGTGCTGCTGTTCCTTATGATGGGGTTGAGTAATTAATAAAAAATAGCAATATAAAGAATACAATTTCTCAGTTATTCTGAAGATTTGTTTTTGTCCTCATCTTTCAGGTTCTTATTTAAGTAAGTCTCTTTCAGTGGGTAATAATAATCTTGGTTGCCCCAAAGGATTTAAGAAAGACTCAGCATCATAGTGCTGGGCTAATGAGAATATTCTTTTTTGAGTGTGTTGCATCTGTTTTGAACATTCACAGAAGACCTAATGTGGAAAAATTTGTGAAAGTTTGTATTGTTTTAAACCATCTGGTTATAAGCCAAACTGTAACCCTTATGTCTAGTTAAGTCCAATTTAGATCAAAGTGTTAAACCTTTTTAATAACAATTCATTTTAACAGATAAGATCACTGTCAGAAATACCTTCAGATTAGAGAGCACACTCAGATATCATTTGAAAGATTTTTGTGTGCTTATAGATACTGTATTATAGTCATTTCTTTAAGACTGTTAAAAATTGCAAACTGATGGATCTGTCTGGACTTATAACTCCATATAACTTCGTGTGCATTAGCATGTGTTTCAGTGTTTGAGACTCTTCTGACACACCACATAGTAAATACGGGAATAAATGCTGAACATACAAAGCTTTTGTAGAACTTCTTTCCATACATAGGTGTGGTTTTGTACTTATCTTCATGTGTGTACTTTATAAAGGTTTGGCTTTAACAATCAGTATTAATTTAATGCTACATAAAGAGCATATTACTTACCAAATGTTTGTGAACTAAGATCAATGTCTACAAAGTTAATGACATGTATCTTGTAAGTTTAGATATCCGTGTGGTCTTCTAGTTTGGGGAAAAAATGTAATCTTTTTCTGATTTATCTTCTGGCTGAAATAATTCATTGCCTGAGTTAGATTAAGGAGAAATAGCAATATATTTTCCATAATTTCACTTTTGTTTCTTAAAAGGAAGCTGAAGATTTAATTCTAATTAATATTGATGACGGGAATATTTCACATTCAAGAATGGTTGAAGAGGAGCCTGAAATTCCAGACGTTCCAGCGCAAGCAGCAGAAACCTTCAAAAAAAGGTGAAAAGATGTTGAAGCTGTGTTTATCATAGGGCGTAGAAAGAGGATCCACCATGATTTAAGATACAAAAAAAAAATTTTTTTTTTTTTTTGTATTACGTAATATTAAGTCTAAGTGACTCCCTAACAAATATCAAGATGCTGTGTTTGGATGCAACTTGATACTTTTCTTCTCTCTGTAGAGCGGAGAGTCTTCAACTGCATTATGATTTAGAGCTGTGTCATCTTCGTGCCACCACAGATCTTGGTGAACTTCAGATGCGCAGAAGGGCTTGGCAGCAGAAACTGAACACAGAAGTTCAGCAGATGACTTTGCAGTTAATTGTTAATATCTTCAGGTCAGTGGATATAGTATTTTTATTATGAGAGCATATGGTTGCAGTTAAGATGCTTCCCCTGTCATTGAGAATACTCTTAATTTGTCTTACTTCCTAGGTGTTCTGTATATCTCTGTTTTGTGAGGAAACATGAGAAGGTGGTCCTGCTTAGAACATGAATAATAAATGTATTCTGGTACATACAGTACCTCCTCTAGGTGGCCCTACTTGAGTAGGGCAGTTGAACCAGATGAACTGTAGAAGTCTATTCCAGCCTCTACGTTTCTGATATGCATGGCCAGGAAATCTTACAGATAGCTGTTCTAATTCCTGAATTTGCATGTCTCTTACGTGAAGATTTCAGGAAGAGGAGTGTGGTTGTCATAATTAAGAAAATCTTAAGGCCCAGGGATATTAATTTGTAAATGAATACCATATTGGTCAGTCATGCTACAGAAGAATGAATCATGGAATCTTTTGAGTTGGAAGGTACCCTTGAAGGTCATCTAGTCCAACTCACCTGTAGTGAACAGGAACATCTACATCAGGATGCTCAGAGCCCTGTCCAGCCTGACCTTGAACGTCTCCAAAGATGGGGACCTCTGTAGGCAACCTCTTCCAATGCTTCACCACCACTATTATAAAGTACTTTTTCCTTATGTTCAATCTAAATCTCCCCTCTTTTAGTTTGAAACTGTTTCCTCTTGTACTGTCACAGCAGGCCCTGCACAAGAGTCTGTCCTCTTCCTTCTTATAGCCCCCACTTTAAATACTGAAAGGCATTCTCAGGTCTCCCTGTTGCTGTGACCCAGGTGCAAGTCCTTGCACTCTGCTGAATCTCATGAGGTTTTCTTGGGCCCACTACTTGAGTCTGTAGAGTTCTCTCTGGATGGCATCCTGTCCCTTAAGCGTGTCAGCTGCACTACGCAGCTTGGTGTCACCCACAAACTTGCCGAGGGTGTGAATTCAAATTGAGACAGTAGAAGAGCTGAAAACAGCTTTGGGAGCTCAAGGACTCCTGACCTGGCTGGTCAGGAGATGGAAAAAATGCTGAAAAGGCTTGAGACATTCAGAGATAGCAACTGTGTGAGTGAGAGTAAGGGAAGGAGAAGAGCTGTTGAAACTCAAGTACAGTGTTGGCACAATAGTTTGGTGGTATTTTAATAATGATGTAGAATAGGATTTGGATTTTTTCCTCTAGAAAAGAGGTCTAGTTATATTACTATTCCTTGTTCTTAAGCTCATCTAATGTATGGATGCACATCTTACCAGGGTACCCATTGTAAATCCTACTATTATTTTCTTGTCTTTGGGGCAGTTATGGTGATATGGTAGGTCATTTCTAAAAATATGCAGAAAATTGCTGGTTGATGTGCCTAAGCTTGATTTCTTTCGCATAGATACTAACATATGAGAACAAAACTGCTTGCCTGGCATTTCTGAAAAATCTTGCTGCAGATAACTGTCTCCATCTGTTTCTTTCTGCCTCATGTTGGAGATGAAGTTCCTGATGGCTCAGCTATTGCATTGCTCACATGAATGCTTTCTTAATGCTTTCAGTAAGGAGTTATAGTGCAAATACCAAGTCTTTGTTAACCTGCTTGCTTTTGTTGGATTGGCTTAGGGAGCATTCATGCAAACAGCTGGGCCTTCCACAAGGACAGTAGCTGCTGACTGTGAAGGAAACAACAGGTTACAGATAGCACAGCTGGATCTGGAGAATAAAATGTGTTTATAGCCTAATGTGTCACCGCTATGGGATTTGGTGGATTTCAGTGTAACTGTTTAACACACTAAATGCTTGGTTACAAAAAAATGAACAGATGCTTTGCTATTTGATAGAATAACATTTTTGCAGAGGAATTGATTCCTTTCTTGCTTTCTTTCTCCTTCCCTTCAAACTTTCTCTTTGTTCTTTTTTTTCAGCATTTTCTTCTGTCTTCTAATACTATATCTACCACCGTCCAGGAGTGAAGGAAAGTAAATCTCTGATGCTATTCTGCTGCTAATTGCTACTGTCTTATTGAAGCACTGTAGTATTTTTGTGTGTATGGAAGTTTTGTGTTTGAAGAAAACCATGATAAATTATATATAATTGTATAGAAATATATACTTGTAATAACCACTATTGACCTGAACCCATATGGCTCGATAAACTGTTTATAAGCTTATATCACCGATCTGTGAAAGATGTGTGATATAGCAGTCTGGTTTTCCAGGGATGGCATAAAGCCTCTGTCTGCTGTGATCATGCATGTACTAAAAATTGCATCCATTTTTTCATAATGCTTCCTGGTTTATTTCAATAGTTCTGTTTCTTTAGACATCACACAAACATCAGTTATTGCTGGCTTGAGGATCAGAGTTCTAGAGTGCAGTAAGAAGTTATCTGTAATGTCTCATGCACCTTAGAGATGCAGTGCAGTGGGATAACGTGAGGCCAGATCATATATTCCAGATTGCCCATGTGAATGTTTGTCTTCATAATGCTTAAAATGGTTTGTCTGTGATTCAGTATGTTAATACTATTTCAGGACCTGAGACAGATTATGACTTAAATATAAAGATTTCCTTCCATGTGTTGTTGAAATTGATCCCCCCTTAAGTGAATTTGCTGATTGGAAATGGCAGTCACAGCAGGTAGCCTGTCTTCATATAAGAGTCTGTGTTCTTTTCTTCTGTTCCAGAAACTCAGACTTGCTCATTAAAACTCAGTTTGCTTCTGATGCTGCAACACACTTCTAGTAGTACTAGTGGGCTGCTGCTGCAAACTTACAACTTACTCACAAATCTCCAAGCTTATTCATCTTTTTATTTATTTTATCCCTAGGGAGGTAAAAGACCACCTAAATTATGAACACAGAGTGTTTAACAGTGAAGAATTTCTGAAAACAAGAGCAATAGGAGACCAGCCATTTTATGGAAAAGTAAGTTCAGTATTAAATATGTTGTAATTCTGTTACTGATCTCTACTTGAGAATTAATGTCAGAAATTAATGGAATGGTCATGGTTTGGTCTGTGTGGTGTTACTGACTCACTAGATTTCACACTTATTTACTATAAACAGCATTTTGGAGAGCAAGATGTGTAGTTTCAGAGCAAATTACAGAAGCATGGCAGAAGAACGAGCAACACAAGTTAAAATACCTGCTTTATCTGAAGCCTGAGCACCATGACAAGAAGTTGATGATGCCTGTTTGGCTCCAGGCCATGAACCCATTTCCTACAATGCATGACAGTGAAAGCATGCTATGGACACCGAGTGCCATTTTGCTCATGTTGGGTTATAGGATGTGTACAGTGTTGGATGATCTGTGTCCTTAGAGCCTGTGGCATTATGATGCATGTGGGGTATGAGTTGATAGAGTTGATGTGTTCTACCAGGTATTCTAACTGCGGCTTACTTTTATGAAGCCCATGAAATAAGACATGAATAGTGCATGGCCTTGTGCCAGGCTCATAGGCACAGCTACAGCCCCTCAGGCATAAAATATTTTTTCCTAGCCCACCTGCTAACACAGAATATTAGTAAATATTGGAGCATAAAACCCTGTGTGGATTTTGTCTGTAGAAGTTCTTTTCATTACTGCCATCATTGCCTTGATCCTGCTGTTAGTGTAAATTTGATTTAGGCCTTCTGAAGTTCACAAGTGATTTAGTTTTTGTCAGTGTGTGTGGTGAGACAGATGTCTGTGAAGAATACAGATGTGTTTTCCTTTGGAGCACTGTTGCGGGAGTATGTTTTTAAAACAATGACTTTAGATATCTAAGGAAGTGGAATGGGTGTGATTTCCTTTTTAAAAGGAGAGTGGCTTGATCACAAAGCTGTGAGATTTAGAACAGTTCTCAGTGCCTTTGGTGGAAGACTTGCTGATCATCAAAAGCTAGAGATCCTTGAGATGAGGAGGGGAAGTAATGAGGAGGGAAGTGAGAATAGAAAAAAAGAAAGGATCAGGGGAAGAAAGAGGCTGAGAATAGACAGATTTGTGACAGAGTTTCTCGTAGTGCTGGAGTATTTAGCTTGGAAGTGCAAAGGTTGAGATTTTCATCCTTGCAATTGAGACTATTATTTTTACATTAAACTGTTTGCACAGTTAATTAGTTTAATATTAACCTTCAATTAAATGAACTGTTGAGTATCTGAGAAGCAGAATTTACATCTTTTTGAAGTTTGCATCTCATCATCTATGGTGTTCTAGGAGAATTCTGTTGCAACAAAGCAAGCCAATATCCCAAGATTTTCAACTCATAATTTTTAAATAGCAAGGTTATTAACCAATCAAAAGCATATATTAGTTAAGTAAAAAATGATTTCAAGACTTACCCTGATCTGTGAGTACCTGATTTATGAAGTGATGTGAGAAACCTCCTCCAATTAATGTCATAGTTTTTAACAGATACTTAATAAAGTGGGTTCTTATCCCAGCCTACTTTAAGATGTGCTGTTGTTTAAGCTCCTTAAAAATAAGAAAGTTGTGTGCTTGTCACTTTTTTTGGTGAAACTGTTAGTTCTTCAGTAAGCTGTGGGTCAAAGCAGAAATGAAATAGTGAGTAGCGATAGGCTTGCTTTCAAGTAAATCTCACAAGGTAGCAAAACATGGAGTAATTGCTGTTGGTATCTAGTGTTACTGACAGTATTAGTGTTATCTAGTGATAGCTAGTGTGTTATCTCAATTAGTTACCTTTTGAAAACCTTTAGAAAGGGCTCCTTTCCTGCAGCATGTCAGTTCTTGAGAGCAGCCCTTCAGAGAAGGAGCTGGGGGTCCTGATGGATGAAAAACTTAAAAACTGAGCCAGAAGAGTGATTTTGCAGCTCAGAAAGCAAATGGTATCCTGGGTTCCATCAGAAGAGGAGTGGCCAGCAGGGGCAGGGAGGTGATTTTTCCTCTATACTTTGCCCAAGTGAGGCCCCATCTGAAGTACTGTGTCTAGGCCTGGAGCCCCCAATACAAGAAAGACAGGGAGCTGTTGGAGAGGGTCCAGAGGAGAGCCACAAAGATAATCAGGGGACTGGAGCACCTCCCCTATGAAGACAGGCTGAGTGAGCTGAGCTTGTTCAGTCTGGAGAAAAGAAGGCTGCGGGGTGACCTCATTGCAGCCTTTCAGTACCTAAAGGGAGCCTACAGACAGGAGGGGAATCAACTCTTTGTAAGGGTAGATAACAGCAGGACAAAGGGAAATGGTTTTAAGTTGAGGGAGGGAAGATTTAGGTTGGGTGTCAGGGGGAAATTCTTTACAGAGAGAGTGGTGAGGTGCTGGAACAGGCTGCCCAGAGAGGTGGTGGATGCCTCGTCCCTAGAGATGTTCAAGGCCAGGTTGGATGGGGCTCTGGGCAGCCTGGTCTAGTATTAAATGGAGAGCTTGGTGGCCCTGCATGTTGGAATTGGAGATTCATGATCCTTGAGGTCTCTTCCAACCTGAGCCATTCTTTGATTCCTGTGCATACAACACGAAACAAATTATGCCATCTACTGGAGATTATGTAAAGCAGAAATTTGTAAAATAGCATCTATGGAGGCACTAAGGATGCGTTGTAAAGGAATGTGTAAGAGGTGAAAATGGACAGATAAGTGGCATCTTGAGTATGAACTAATTGTTGATATAATGTTTCCATTAATTTCAGAAAATCAGTATTATTTATAAATATTTCTCATCTGTATTTTTGAAACGTCATAGCAAAACATAGATATATAATCAATAACTTATAAAGTGAAAAAATAGTAACTGCAGGACTAACAAGGGTATTTTAAGCAAGCTTTTGGAATATGTCATTAATGTAAAGGTGTTTTTTTTTTTTTAAACTTACATTTAAAGGTACAGATGTTTTTCTGTCAGTGCATTAGTTCACTAACTTCAGTAGTGAACTCTACTCTTTTGCTCTGTATTTCCCATTTTTGGTTTGCTTTCATCTTTTGGAAGGTGATCTGAGATTACTGTTTGCATCTAAGCAAACGTGGAAGTTGACTGAATGCTGAGTTAGTTCTGTTGCTGAAGTCAGGTACTTCTGTTTTTTGTAATTGCTAAAATGAATGTTTTCAGTTGTATGTCTTGAAAGATGATAAAAATGCTCAAAACATGCTGCTAACTTGTGAATGATCCACAGCTAACCAGTCTGTCTCTCACAGGTTTTAGAGACCTACATGTTTCACTCTTTCCTTAAAGCTCGTTTGAATAGAAAGATGGATGCTTTTGCTCGACTTGAATTGAGCACCCAGTCTGAAGAGGATAGGTAACTTTTTCACCTTGCTTGTTGTGGTTTTGAACTTTATCAGAATAAGTGGCATCAGTGATAAAAGAACTTTTGACTGTATTGGTATAAGATTAGGTTACCTATGAATAAGATTGTGACTAATTAATGGGCCATTTCATTAAGCTTGCTGTGAAAGAGCTGTACAGATGTGTCCAGTCATGGCTGTGAAAAGTGTAAATTGACACTATGATTATAACTTGATTTTCTTCTTCTTGCTCTTTCATAGTATTAAGTAGTTATTTAATTTATGTATGCATGCAGAATTTTAAACCTAATTATATAATTTTTACATTATTTTTCAGATTCAACTTGATGTTTCGTACTCCGAGAAGACTTACTATGGAGAAAATGGCTTCTAAGAGATTTAATTCACAGAACATCATTAACAGACGTATGGTAATCAGTATGCCTAATCTGCAAGATATCAAGCTACCAGAGAGTCCTACTAGAAGGTCCTCGCTTCGAAGAATAGAGGCAGGCATTGGTGAGTGAAGAATGTGCTGAATGAATACACTGTTTTTTTTCTGTTTTGTGTGATATCATTGAATGATTTCCACAGAAAGTGTCAGATGCTGTAAGGAAATGGTGAGCTGGGTCATTTTCAGCTGGGGCCCCATCTGTGCTTCTCTTTGCATGTTAAATCAGCCTGTATTCTGCATTAAGTTCTGCTGTACCACAAAGGATAAGGATGTGATTACTGTCCTTACCGACCTTATGTCCATTTCTTCACTGCATTTGAATATTTGCTTAGATTTACCTTTGTGTAACTAAGCAGTCCTTTTCAAACTGCAGATATGGATTTACTCTCGCGTGTAGTTTTACTTGCATATTTTTATGTATTACGTAAAGAGATGTATATATTCACATTATTCATATATCTTAAAAATATGTATTCTCTGGAAAGGATATTACCAGAATGGGAGTATTCTGACATTAAGAAGGATGTATATAGAAATACATTTGTGTCCTTAGCATAACTTTAATCTGAAGGAATTTTATGCAATTTAATTGAAGAAATTGTTGTGATGGGATTCTTTTTGTTCATAGTACTGCTGGTTGCAAAAAAATTCATGCTTTTACTAATTCCTGTACCACCTTTTTTTCACTTCTAGCTGTGAAAAAGCCCTCCAAATCAGTTAGTACATTCAAAATCCCAGAAATTCACTTTCCTCTGATGAGCCACTGTGTTCACTCCTACTATACAGAGTTCTTCAACCATCTCAGCAAAGCTATAAATACCTTACCACCTGATAACTCAGCATTGCTGGCAAGGTACTTCTACCTCCGGGGACTTATTAGCTTGATGCAAGGGAAACTACTAAATGCACTCTCTGACTTTCAGAACCTAGATAAAACAGACTTAAGAATTTTCCCTACTGAACTTGTAAGAAAAATTGTGGAAACTTTGCCTCCTTCTGAGCGTTTTCAAGCTGACCGCAAGCCTGAGCTGAAGAGGCTGATAAGCCTAGTGATGGAACAACAGAGGGAAGTGACAAAAATAGATGACCATGTAAAACACTTTGAATTGCCAAAAACACACATGCAACTGGATGATTTTGTGAAGCGAATCCAGGAGTCTGGGATTGTCAGAGACATAGACACTATACATCGGTTGTTTGATGCCTTAACCGTAGGTGAGTAGAGGGTACATTTTTACTGATCATCTACACTAACACAATGACAATTTAAAGCTATTTTTGTTTTTATGAACTAGGATAAAAGAAAATTTGTCTCCAGTTGTTTCTCTTCTTAATTACTAGTCAACTCAGTATGCGTGCTTTTGTTTAATTAAAGTAAGTGTGGAGAGTAGATTGAATGGATACAGGATGTATACATGTGTGTATGCACAGGTACATTTATGTACCTGTGTCCACAATAAGGGATGAAGAGTCCTCTTACATATTTAAGCATACAACTTAAAATTTTTCAGATTGAATTCATGGGGTAGTTTTTATTCATTTTGTGTTTTAATGGTGTACAGTTCTGCTTTGGCTATGATGAGTCAAGTGACTATAAGCCTGTCCTAATTGCTAATGGATAATATCTTATAAAACCACTAAGTAATCTGGCAAGGTTGGAGACTGTTGAAAAGAACTAGCAAAATACAGAATTCAAGTGGCTACAGTAAAATTCCTCTTGAATCATTATCATAGCAAATGGAGAGCTTATGTTTGTGTTTGAGAGAACTTTCTTCTCTTGTGAATGAGATCTGAATCTTGTGATAGATTTCTAAAAACATAGATTGAGTGGTTTTATAAAATACTATTCAGTTCTATTTCTATCTCTACTTACTGCAATCATTGTTATATTTTGTGGCCACAGAGATTAAACATCAGTTAAAATAGCAATTTTTTTTAATGCCAAAAGTAACATACATCTCGCAAGAACTTGAGATTCTGCTATCCAAGCTCACTTAAATTCTTAGAATAACTAATTAAATACTTGGAATAACTGTTGCTGAAGTCTTTTAATTAATTAACTCTGGCTTTTATCCTGAGTTGGTAAGTATGTTGTATATTTGCATTCTGTGGAACCAAGAACTGAAATGCCATGGTGAGAAGTACTCAGTTCAGTAGTGCTTACCCAGTTCTGCTTATCCATTTTACTGTTAGAAATGCAATCTGGAAGCCAATATCTTTTAAAACTATCTTTTTATTTAAATCTGTATAATAATTTCTCACAGTAAACAGGTTTTAAAATTTTTAGGGCAGCAGAAACAAATTGATCCTGAAACATTCCGAGATTTCTACAACTACTGGAAAGAAACTGAAGCAGAAGCTCAAGAGGTCAATCTGCCACCAGCAGTAATAGAACATCTGGATAAAAATGAATGTGTCTACAAGTTATCCTGCTCAGTTAAAACTAACTATGGTGTAGGAAAAATAGCACTGACCCAAAAGCGCTTATTTCTTCTGACTGAAGGAGGACGTCCTGGCTATGTCCATATTGCTGCTTTCAGGGATATAGAGGTGAGCATCAAGTCATTTTCTTGAATAATTGTACTTTGAGGGTGACAGAGCCCTGGAATAAGCTGCTCAGAGAGGTTATGAAGTCTCCTTCTCTGGAAATTTTCAAAAGTGATGGGCACTTTCCTGTGCAATTTGCTCTAGGAAGCTTGCTTTAGCAGCAGGGGAGGATTGGAGTAGATTATCTCCAGGGGTCCCTTCCAACCCCTGCGATTCTGTGGATGACAAGCAATGTTCCATTCTGCTGAAAGACCTACCTCAGACTGTCTCAGTAAGAGCTGTAATGAATGGCTCTGAAATCAGAAACTCACAAATGATAAGAGGTTTTAAAGAGGTGAATGTGTGCTAGGTGCTACGATGGTGTGGTTTAAAAATCTGGAGTCCTTAACCTCTAGATCACAGAATCACTGAATGGGCAGGGTTGGAAAGGGACCTCAAGGATCATGAATCTCCAACCCCCCTGCCACATGCAGGGCCACCAACCTCCTCATTTAATACTAGACCAGGCTGCCGAGCATCCCATCCAACCTGGCCTTGAACACCTCCAGGAATAGGGCATCCACAACTTCTCTGGGCAGCCTGTTCCAACATCTCACCACTCTCTCTGTAAGGAACTTCCCCCTGACATCCAACCTAAATCTTCTCTCCTTCATTTCCTTTGTCCTGCTGTTATCTACCCATTCAGAGAGTTGACTCCCCTTCTGTTAGTAAGCTCTCTTTAGGTACTGAAAGGCTGCAATTTAGATTTGCAGGACACAAAGCTTGGTACACAGAGCCAGAGGAATATAATAACGTGAATGTTAAATGCACCAATCTGTATCCACTCTGTAATGAAGCCTAGGTGATACTGTTAGTGATTATCATCCTCACAAAACCTGCTAATAGACTATTTCTGCTTAGTGGTGTGTATGAACAACTGAAATATTAATTGTAGTTAAATAAAGAAAGCTATCCTGTAGGTTTAATACTGCATCTTAGCTGTGACTGCATGGTACACCTTTCTTGCTTTTCTTGTTTCCAGGATGTTAAGAACACAACTGTAGCTTTCCTTCTTTTGAGAATACCTACTCTGAGGATTGAAACGATATATAAAAAACAAGTATTTGAAGCTAACCTGAAAACTGAGTGTGATCTCTGGTACCTGATAGTGAAAGAAATGTGGGCTGGAAAGAAAATGGCTGATGATCACAAGGTATAAAAATGGGCACAGCCAACTGAATAAATGTGAAGTATGTGCTTTCTGTTTCTGTTCTAAATAATTCCTGTATCAGTCCTGGAATTTCTTGGTTTTAGCATGTGATAGCTAAGTAATAAGCTGTTGTTTTTGATGTTACTTCTAAATATAGTACATCCAGAATACTAGCAAAATAGTACATTTAAATATGTACAATTAAATACTGCATTTAAAAGTAAGGGATTTTTTTTCTCAATTAATTTGGACCTTTTTGTTTAGTTACCAGTTTTGTGAAATACATTGGTAGCTTAAGCTTACCAAGTGAGAGCAGTGATCCTAAAAGAAGCTTGCCATGTCTTACTTCCCTTACAAAGTGTAATGTTTAGAGGGATTATTTTTTTTCTTTGCCATTCTGGAATCTTGGTAGCTGGAATCCTTTGAATAAATAGAGCAAGATGTGTTAGAATCATAGAATCACAAGGTTGGTTCTTCTGCCATAAAACCTTTGAGGAAGAAAAAGGATCGTACGAGCATGGTTTCCAGCCAAAATACTAAATTCTCCATCAGTGATGAATTTAATAGTGAAAATGTATCTTGGTGATTTTTTAAGAAGGATTGGGATAGTGTTACATGAGATCAAGAAAAATGTACTTCTCTTCTATGCAGGAAGGTCCAGGATGGAAATTGGTGTCTGCCCTGTGTGTGCTGTGTCTCTTCCATCAGTGCAATTCATGCAGTTTCAATTGTGCATTCTGAATTAAAATTGTGCCAGATCTGAAGTACATCTTTCAGTGCAATGACTTAACTGTAGCTTTTGGTTCTCTGCTCTATGCCCTTGCTTTGGAGTGAAATGTGATGTGATAGTGGGGTTTGCTTGCAGGTAGTATGGATTATGCTCCAGGAAAGCAACTGGCTAGTGCTTGTGCTTTAGTGTGACTTGCATTATAATGGTTGAATATGGAGACATGCAAGAATGATGAGTAGTGGGTAAACTACAGTAAGACTTTTTTTCTTTAGGATCCTCAGTATATTCAGCAAGCATTGACAAATGTTCTCCTGATGGATGCTGTCGTTGGTGCACTGCAGTCCTCCAAAGCTATATATGCAGCCTCTAAACTGTCTTATTTTGACAGGATGAAGAATGAAGGTCAGTCATGTACCAGTGATATGAAGCCTCTGGTATCTCATCATCTATTTCAGTCTTTTCTTTTTACAGTTTGTTTTTCGAACTGGTTATCTGTAGAGTTATAAGATGATGATAGCCTTATTGCTCTTTGGTTGCCATACTTCATTAAATATTTATTTTGTTTAGTTAGAAACCTGTACTGATATCAATATACTGTGTTGGGTGGGTTTTTCTTGTTTGCTTTTTGGATAAATGCATGCTTGTTTTATTTAAATACTGCCTGGGCTTTCACAGTCAGCTAAAGTTAGAAGGAAAAATGGGAATAAGTGGTACATAATTATTCTTTCATGAGGATTATAGATCTGTTTCAGGCTCAAGTATGCACTTCATGACCTTTTAAAAACCTATTTTAGTGCCTATGATGATCCCCAAAACAACCTCAGAGACATTAAAGCACAAGATCAACCCGTCAGCTGGTGAGACATTTCCACAGGCAATAGATGTCTTGCTTTATACTCCAGGTAAGGTGATGTATTTCCTTATAGTAGCTTTAATTAGCCTATAAAATGTTATCTCCTAACACCTGGTATTATGTCTGCCTGATTTTGTTCACATTCTGACAGGCCTTGGTTGTGTATAGAATACTAAAACAGAAAATATTGAAAAAGAACAGTGATAAATTAAGATAGCTTTCACAGTCTTAATTTGCCATCCTATGTGTATATGCATTTTAATTGTCTTCAATTATATGTTAATGTGTCAGTTTGCCATTAAGACTTCTACCTTGCTTATTGAGCAGGGTGGAAAAATGATGTCCCAGCACTGATCAGTGTTCGCTGTTCATTTTCAGTAGTCATATAGGAGTGTTTAGTTGAACCAGTGCAGAAATCTCAGCCAGATCTATTCCTGTGACTCTCACTGTCATCACAGTACGTGATCTAATATCTAATTCATCCCATGTGATTTAAGTCCATGCCTGAAGAATGCATTATTATTTTCCCTGTGATCTTTTGTGTGATATTTGGCACACTTATATCTCAGTAATTGAAAATGCACTGGAAAAAAGAAGTTGGGGCAAAAGCCTTATCTCATTTTAACTGCTTAATTTGGATTGTCTTGGATTTTTCAGAGCAGTCATATGTGCACTTAATGAGATTTCAACCTGAACATAAATTAAGGTTTTCACCTCAGGTTTCACACCTGGAAGTGAGGAGTGTGCTGCTAGTGTGTATTTATGAGAAATGACTTGCATAGGGATTCTGATTCAGAGGCACTAAGAACTCACTAGATCTGAGTCTATGTCTTGCTCAAAACGTGCATTTAGCCAGAAGGCAAAGAAGAAATCCTAGAAATAAATATCCTTTGTTATATGATCCTGATTTATTTCAAGAGCAAATCTGCACAATGCATGATCTGTGGGGGAATAAATACATGATCATACTTAAAACAACAAGAAGGGAAAAAAAAGGACTTTTATCTGGGGCTGTTCACAATGGATGTGAATTCTAATTGAGAGGTGTTAATTTTCATAACCTTACTCATCTCCTGACTTAAGTTCACGTGTAATTCCTAGAATTTGGGCACCCTGAGACAAAAGCACAAAGTGAATTTCACAATTCAGGAAGTTGGATGGAGAATCTGTGTGTGGTGGTGGTGGAGGGTTTGGTTGTGCTTTTCTTTCTTTGAATGGAGGTTGCTTTCTTCTAAATGAAACAATCATGTGGCAGATGGAATGAATGGAGTCACTAGTTTTATTTCATAGGGCTTATAAGCCTCCCTGCAATTCCAGTTATCTAAACATTTCATCTGTGAAAATGATCTCTGCTCTGAATAACATTGAAGTGTGAGGTTAAGCCATCAGGTGAAATCACCAATTGGATAAGGAGCACAAATTCAGTGTAAACAGTGTCCTTTGTTAACTGGTGATGTAAGTTCCAGAACACAGAAGCATTTCATTGCTCTACCTCTGATAATGTTTTTTCCATGTGTCTCCAAAAGTGTTTTATTTTCTTTACTTCTCTCATCTTCTCTGCTTTGTTTCTAGGGCATCTTGACATTTCAGAAAGACCTGACAATGCTCATCCAAAACTGTGGTGTGCTTTAAACGAAGGGAAAGTTGTGGTCTTTGATGCATCTACCTGGACTATTCAACAGCACTGTTTCAGAATGGGCCGCTGTAAACTGGTAAGACTAACACTCATACCATGACTGATGATTTAGCTTGTTTTTTCTGTTGCTGATAGCCTAATTAACACTAGGCCATACAGTCGTCCCTTAGAAATTGAAGAAGGATATTTGAGTTGTGCTGCAGTTAACTTGGAGAAACGGAGGATTGAGAGAAAAAGGTTTTGTAACGAAACAGGTCAACTGGTAGGAAGTGATGGATTGACTGAGATGGCATGCTAGCCTAGTGGTATTCTTGGAGCAGGAAGGCTGGTTTGAAACAGCTGAGTGAAAAGAATCTATAAAAAAGAAAACAGAGATAGCCCTAAGTATAGTTAAAAAATCATCTGTGCTGAAGAGCTAGAAACTGGAGAAATGTGTAAGGAAACTACTGGGTGATACAGATAGTCTAAAAGAAGACTCAGACAACAGATCAAAGAGAGTTACTTGTGGGAATTTGAATTGAATAACTTAGTGAAAGGGAGGGCTGAAACAGGCTTTGGACTGCGTGAAAAACATACAGAAGAGAACACACAGCAAAGGGCTTTATAGGTGACTTGTGTGGAAGATGAGAAACGTTTCTGTGGATAAATGTGGGGAAAAAAACTGAAAGGGGGGGGACTAAGCTGATGGTAGAGGAAAAATAGAAATCTTGGAGAAGAGTTGGATGCTGACCTATTCTAAAGAGGAGGAAGAGAAGAAGAGGAAGACTTGGGTCTTGTGAGACTCAAGAAGGAGAGATTAAGAGTTTCTGAATGGGAGAGGGATGTTTCAGGTGCAATAAAGGAGAAATTGGTGTTTTCCTAGGCATCACCTTAACTAAAGTAGGAATGGTGTTTATGTCAGATGGTTAGTACAGCTTCCAATCCAGAAGACAGAAATGCACCATATTCTGTGGTTTCCCCAAGTGCTGTCTGCAACTTCTACTTTGCTTAAGCTGGGAAACACAACTTTGAATCAGTTACCAAGATACATTATTAATCTTATTTACTGAAAGTTAAACTCAGAAAAGAGATCTGTCCTTCCTCTCCCTCCAGCTGAGCAAAGGATAAATACTGGAGTGCTGAGTTTTAATCCCTTACTGTAATCACCAGAAATCTGTTACTTCATAACATAGCCTTTTTCTATGTTATATTAAAAACTGATTTTTTTAAAAGGTTTTTTTTCTTTTTTTACTATTTAATCCTGTTTTTTTCTCCCCAGACTTGTATGGTAATGGTAGAACAGAGTCAAGTATGGATTGGTTCTCAAGATTCCATTATTTATATAATCAACACTCACAGTATGTCTTGTAATAAGCAACTGAATGATCACCATTCTGATATTACAGACATAGTCGTGGAGAAGAAGAATGGAATACCCAGGTATATTTAATTACAATGGTTTCTTCTTAAAAATGAATCTACAAGAAAATGTTGAGAGACCGGAAGAGTTATGAATGTTAAGGAGAATCTTCCTGTGGTTAAATAGAAAGCTGTCCTACTATTGTCAGACATCACTTTGTCTAATATTGTAGCTCCCATTATTGGGTATTGCAAATTAAGTATTTCCTTTCTATTAAGAAATCATTATGTACTTTGGAACAAAGATGATAAAAGAATATTTTTTTCAGGCAAGAAGTAGAGCAGCTGGAAGTTGGTGGCTCTGTACAAATCAGTAGAGATGCCATTTAAAGACCACTTCATTTTTGCTTTGAGCACTTCATCATTGACCAGATTTTTACAACATGCTTCAGAGTTCATCCTGCATGTTTTTAAAGGAAATAGTACATTCCTTGTTTTGTTCAGAGAAAATGCTTTTTATCTTTTGGTAGCATTGGGAAGGGAGTAACTGAAGGCATGAACTAGTTGACTTTCTGTGACAGACCAGAGACAAGCCTCAGTTCTAGTGCTGCAGCAGGCATGACTGGGTTTTGAGGGGGAATTTGCTTAGGTGTCAGTAGGGCCTACTGGAAAAGGTACTCTTTTCTGAAGAAAACAAATGTCAAAGGCAGAAGAAATTGCATGATTTGTTCTCTCAGGTGCAGTAGCAAAGAAAAAAGATTTTGAGATGTTTTGGTCATGCCTTGAGAGGAAAAGAGAAAATTGAAAAGGCAACAGAGTTCAGGAAAATTATAGGGAATGTTTTTGTTGTATTTAACTCTTCAACCATGATGTAATCCGTGCTCTAGTTCACTTAGAGGCCTGAATTAGCCTGCAGTGCTTCTAGTGATATAAAGTCTTTGGAGTATAATCTCAGACAAAGAAAAAAGGGTCTGTGCCAGAATACAGTAGTTCCATAGGAGACAAACAGCTAGAAGGATGGATGCTTGGCTGTTACTCAGAAGTTGCTGTTGGCTGCTTAAATGTACTTACACTAAAATAATAGAATTGGACACCCCAAAACAGAACTCAGATCAGCTGTGATGAGCAAAATGTAACTGTTTAGAGCCAGCAGTGTAAAACATAGGGAGGGAAAAAGTGTAGGTCCTTCCTCAAGCATTTTGGTGGGCATAGAATGAGTGTGCTCTTATCCTTTAAAGACTCCAGTTACTGTTTGAAATGGCTGAGTACAGCTAACTGCTTACTGCTTTATTGTTAAAATTATAGTATCTGGCCTTGAAGCCTCTTGGGCTTTGGCTTATTGTAAAACTTGTGATTTTGCAAGTCTTTCCATATGAATTTTGTTCTGAATGTGAATGTACAATATACTATTATTATTTTTTTTGTCTGTATCAACAGTGAAGCATACTCAAGCAGCTTAGATGGAACAGTGATTGCTTGGAACATCAGCACTCTGAAGGTTAACCGTGCTTTTCAGCTGCCCTGCCAAAACCTAACTTCTATTAAACTTCATAATGAACAACTGTGGTGCTGTAAGTTAATTCCTCAATAATTAAAAAAAAAAAAAAAAAAAAAAGCTATCTTATTAGTCAGAGCAATACATTAAACTCACACTCTGACTTTACATTCACGATGTTCCACCCTCAATTCCCACTTGGTGTGTTTAAGTAGCCTTCTGTAAGTGAGGCCTCCAAAACTCTTACTTTAATTAGCTAGCTTGAGTCTCTCCTGAGAGTATTGCCTCTGCTATAGGATGTGGCCTCTGGCTACACTGTTTGTCTGACCCCTCCTGGCAACACAAGATTGGAATGGAAAGCTTTGAGAAAGTTCTTTTAAAGTCTAAAGGGATAAACATTTGCAAGTTGCTTTTGGTATTTTGACTTTTTATTTTTGACTGTATGGTATTGATCTGAGTTGGTAATCTTCAAACCTGCCTTTTGGGCACGTTTAGAACTTGTCATCCCTTCTGCAAGAGTCTAGATGAATAAAGCCAGCATTTATGTTAAACATCTTTATCCTTGAAGTAAATTAGTAAATTACTTGAAGTCATTTCATAAATAGGGCACAGATAGTAAGCACTGCCATGCTCAGGAGCCTGTATTGAAGCACACCTTAATAGGACAACAGGTGAAACAGAACAGCAGGTGCAGTCTTTGGGAATTCGTGCAGCAAGTAGTAGCAGTGCTTTGGTGGGGTAAAGATTCAGCCCTGTTAACTTTGTAGCACAAACACTTCAAATCAGTTCTGTAGATAGCTGTATACTAGGGAACCTAACTGTGGGATCTCCTAATGTAAAGGAATCTCTTCTCATTATTTTTGGACTTTAACAGGTGTTTGTACTGCAAAAATAGTAACCAGCATTTGGAGAAAACAGAAGTAAGAAGTGGATACTATAAAAAACAGGAAGAGCCTCTAAGATGTCACTGTTGATTGAGAAATAAGACAGCTGTTAGATGCATCCATTTTATTTTGCTAGTTTTGTTCAGGGCTTATGGATGTGTAAGGAGTTGGCACTTCTACTAATAACACTTTATCTAATATTGAAGGTACTGGAAGCTGCATATTTGTAATGTCAACTTATGAATTTCGACTACAAATGAAGATTGAGCAACACCTGAAGGATGTGTGTTCATATTTCCTCTGCTTCCAGCTCTTTCCTGAGGTATTACATTTGAACTGCTAATGTGGTGTGAAGAAAGCGGTCGCGACATGCCAGCAACTGTGTAGTTACTTATTGCAATATGCTTGCTGTCAGCAGTGCTAAGGTTAAACATAACTTTCTGTGCTTCAGAGAAATGAAGTGTGGGCATCTTACTCAGGGAGTAGTGACCTGTATATTTGGAACACCAAAGACTTTGCAAGCACACCTCAAAAAATTCATCTTCAAGATTGCTCTGAGATTACCTGCATGATACAAGTCAAAAATCAGGTGAGAGACGTTTGGACTGATTTTCATTTGTTGTAGACTTCTTTACTAAAAGCTTTGTCTGTTTACAGCTCTCACAGGCTTTCATTAGTTAGCTTTCTTACAGACTGTTTGCCAATGTATTAGTTTAAAACATTGATTTTTCTTTTAAATCAGTAGCCCACCACAACTGGATGCTATGACTGTAGCCCAGAATGCATGTCAGCCCAAAAAATCTCACAAGTAATTAAATGCCTGGTGACTTTTATTAGCCATTGACATTTTCAGGGAATGGTAGAAGCTGAAAGTTTAGGTCCCTTGATATTTAATCTCAGGGCTCCTAAGACTAAACCTTGGAAAAGGTTAATAGCCATGCTAATTGGCATTTATTGTTTACCTGTTTTCGTAGATGACCTTTTTCTTGTTTAGTTACTGCATGCCTAACTGAACAGAAACAAAAGGGCCAACGTTTCCTACCTAACTATCTTGAGTGCCTGTCATTTTTGGCCTCCAGCTGTACCTGCTGTTTCTGGGTAGTATCAGTAGCTGTGCAAATGACTGTAGTTGTGATACCACATGGATGTGTTTAGGATCAACTTACAAGTAAATAGCTAATATAAGGGAAAAATATTTTCATTTTCCCCTCAGGTTTTCCATATTCCCATCTTGTAGAATGACATTTTCTCAGGAAGTGTCTTATGAGATGGGGAAAGCTTTTTGCATATCCAGCCCTTGGCTAACTTTGTGAACAGAAATGAAAAAAGAGCTTTAGATGCAGCACTCCCCCAAGCAGAGCTGGGTATGTTTTAAGGTGGCTGGCCTCCTCCCACTCGCAGTGCTGTCTGGTGCAATGTGTGCTCCTGGGTGTGTCACAGAGGAGAGATCATGAGGTTTCCCAGAGCCTTCTCCTCACCTTACACCTTGATAATCACATTATTACCTTATCACATATTCTCTTACCCACATGCCTCTGGGAGCCTGGACAAAACTATCCACATGAAGACCACAACTCTGTTCTAGCAGACCAGACCAGGTGCCTCTGACCTCACCCTGTGTCTTATGGTGGCAATAGCAATGCTATGTAGAAATGCATAAACTCAGCCTTCTTAATTTTTATTTTTATTTTCACTTACGACTGCTGCTCTTTGCCCTTGATAGTTTCAGTTCTTTGAATCTTCTCTATATCCTTGCAGAGGGTGACTGGAACTAGTCATGGCACTCAAGATGTAGGTAGGCTGTGGTTTTTTACAGTGGTGAAGTGACACCTTCTGTTTGCACTGTAGCTGTGAAACTTAAGGCAATCTGAGGGCTTTTGGATGGGACCCCGGGCAACCTGGTCTAGTATCAGATCTGGAGGTTGATGGCCCTGCCTTTGGCAGAGGGGTTGGAACTTAATGATCCTTGAGGTCCCTTTCAACCCAAACCATTCAATGATTCTGTGATTCTTTGGATCAGAATCCTTGTGCTCCACGTCTACATGGCAATTAACCCCCTCCTACTCCTGGCTACTCTGCCAGTCACTGAGGCAGTTTACCTTTTTGCAGAAGCTCTGCTGACTTGTTCCTGATAGTGTTTCTTCATGTATTCAGTGATCTTTTTCTCTATTATAACCTTTGCTTTCTTTCCAGGGATGGAAGTCAGACACAAGAGTCTGATTATTTTCTTTTCCCAGAGATCCTCTTCAGAACCTCTTTGTGTGGAGGGGAAGCCATTTCCTCCCAACATATATAGGAATTTATATATGCCTACATAGGCATATATAGGAAATTCTCACTTGTTGCCATTTTCCAGCTTAGCGAAGGAAAACCTTATCTCGACTGTGTCTTAAAATTTCATGAATCAAAAAAATATTGTTTTGTTTTTCCTCCAGATGTGGGTTGGCAGTAGTGGAACATCACAAGGCAAAATCAAAGGGAAGATCTACGTGATCAGTGCTGAGAAGAAGACTGTGGAAAAAGAATTGTTTGGTCACGCTGATACTGTAAAGGCTCTTTGCTCTGCAGAGGACAGATACGTCCTCAGTGGTGCTGGAAAGGAAGAAGGGAAAATTGCCATTTGGAAAGTTGAATAGTTAAGCTATTCAAAATATGTCTACCTATGGTGGAAAAAAGACCTCGGGCCTTGGTTACTCTAGCATTTTGCTTCTATTTCAGCCACCTGTCAGTGTTATTTTTGTATTTATTCAGCTATTTTCAGTAGCTACATTGTTGTTGAAAATCAGCTTTGAAATGATTCTCTCCTTGCATCTTGTACTGCACCTGCACATTTGATAAAGAAATGGAAATGTGAGTAGAGGGATCGCTGGCTTTAAACTTAACCATATTTTGTTGTGAAGGATCAGAGTTACAGGCCAAGTCTGTTATGCAGGCTGCATTAAATCAGCTGAAGCTGGTGAGGTTAAGTTCAGTAATTCCACAGGAGCTCTTTCTCAGCAGTGTATATAGTAGCTGGAAATGTTCACTAAAATCAAACAAAGAAACAACAAATCCCAGAACCAAACCAAAAACAAAACACCCCAATGGATTTGTTTGATTCATTGAGTTAATGTAAATGCTGAGTTATTTATCTTTCTGAACTAGCAGCTACAATTAGCTGGGAAGACTGCCCATTATCACTGTGTGTATATATTTATGGTGCTGTATTATTTAAAAGGTAGATACGGGCAGACTCTTTTTGATAGCACTGGAAACTTCCTGCTGCTAAAACAGGATACTTGGATAGTGTCAGTAACTGTTCTTAAACTTGTTCTTCTCCTAAAAACAATGCACGGCACTTGGCATTTATGAAACTGACATTTTTTTTCCCCAATCTGAAATACTTTATTTAACTACTATATGTATTGCATTTGCTTTTGGAAGCAACCTTTTAGTCACTGTGCAAAGAAATCTCTGCCGGTCTTCCCTTCAGCCAACATTTCTGTCATCAGAGGAACTGCTGACATTTAATATAGAACTTCAGAGTCATCAAACGATGCCTTAACTACTGAAGTGGGCATAATCAAATAGCCTTCTAAAGGGTTCTTTCAAGCAGCATTTCCTAATCACTTCCTAATGTACTTTTTTCCATTGATGACAAAATCATCTACAAGTAGAACAGTCTTTGCAGAATAGTTTTACCTGTATCAGTGCTGAGTAAAGTGGAACACAATATTTAAATTATTACAAACAGAAGGAACAAATGGGCTGCTACTTTTTCAACAAGTATAAGCTGAAACTGTAGGCCTGATAGAAATGTAAACTACTAAGAGTGTACTGCATCTAATATTTTAAATCTTTCAATGTACTGATGAAAGGTTTTATGTGATGGTAACTGTAATTTTACCTTTTTAGTATTTTTGCAATTGAAGAATATTAAACACTATATTGATACTCTGGCTTTTCTTTGTTCCTTTTTCCTGTGTGATGTAGTGCACAATACAAGAGTTATGATTTTTTTTTTTTTTACATTGACTTGCATCACCTCTCTGTGCTAAGAATAATTGCCTGTTTCTCTCTGCATATTCTCCTTTCTAAAAACAGCTTCTGCTGCTCATGTGTCCTCCTTCTGAGCCCTTCATCTGTAACTTCCAGACTCCTTATTTCCCTCCCAGGCAGCTGTCTGGCTGCTGGTGGTAGGTGGAAGTAATTATGTTCTGTCTGCAGAGATAAGCAGGAGCTGAGGTGCTGAGGAGATGTCAGTTGTTGCAGGGATGTACCCAGCTACTGCAGCCTGTTTGCCAGTGCCTGTCTGATTCCTGCTACACTCCTTGGACCTTGCTTTGCTGTCTCTACTGGCACCTTGCTTGTGTAAATGTTAGATGACAAAACTAGAAAATACCAATTTTCATGCTTGAACTCTTCTGGAAAATTTATGATGTATTGATTGAATAGCAACATAATTTATTGATTAGATGAGTCCTTTTCAGAACAATGCTTTCTTTAATACCATCTGTTGCTATGGCTGTTGAACACAAGCATATAGGAGTGCAATTTAACCAGAGCTGGTAAAACCATGTGAAACACAGATCCTTCAACAGTCATCCCTAAGGGCAGGAGTAGCAGCGATACAAATATGATTGATTTGGGGGCACAATGCCATGCTTTTTTTGACTTTCCTCATGAGATGAGAAAGCTCAGGTATGTGTTTACTTACTATTTCTTCTTTGATCCAGTGTTACACACATGACAGTGAACCTGCAGGAATAGGGCTTTGGGGTTTAGTTCAGTTTTCAGTCCACTTGTTCTTTTCCTGCTGTTTGATGGGCCCCTTCGTGGTGGGGAGGCACAGGGGGAGGGATTCTCAGACTCCAGATACCCTCAGAGCTGCTCTTTGCCATGCTGCCTACTAAGAGTCTGGCAAGTTGAGCTGCCAGCGAGCAACACACCTAATCTGCTGATGGATGCTGCCTCTTCATTTGTGTTCTCTGCTCATCTCTCTTGTGAGCTTGCAGTAAGCTGTTTGAGGTGAGAGCACCTTCTAGTTGTGTTCATGACATAACACTCTATTGGCACTTAGCAAGAACTCCTGCAGATGTTGATGTTATAAATGCTGCTGCTTGAATGCTTGGATTTTGTAAAACTGCTGAGCTTTTCAAATCAAAGGCAAATTCTCAGGGCTCAAAATGGGCTGCCAAATAGTGGGGAAGCTTTATGTTCTACTGGCGATTGCCTTCTCCTCAAAATGATGTATAAATATTTATAAATAATGTATAGATAAACCAGAAAAAGTCACTGCATCCTGCCAACCTGTATTACAGCCAGGATTTCAGTTTCCACTTGTCTGGAGAGATTTTGGTCTCTATTGTCTCCACTCAACATCAAGGTAACTGCCTTCCTGAGTGGGAATAAAGACCTCCCAGGCTTCAGGAAGCCACTTTTGGAACAGATGCAGCACTCTGAGCTCTCTTGCCCAGCTGCTGAGCTGCTGTTGGAACTGGTCAGCTGTAACTTGAACCCCCCAAGTCTCCCTGTGCTGCCATTCCTTCCTTTTCTCCTTCTTTGAAGTACTGCTTGCTTCTTGAAAGTCAGCTGCAGTTCAAGGTTGATTTTTGATTCCTTTCTGCTGTTGATTTTTCAGGCCGAGGGGTGGCAGTGTTTGCTTCTAGAAATAAGCTGCATTAACCACGGGGACAGGAGCTGCTTGAGAAGTCCTGCTGTTGCGTGCTGGCTGTGATCTCCTGCGTGGGCTGTGCAGTGAGGTAGGAAACAGCTTCTTTTGCCTTTCAGCCCGTGGTCATGGCTGCTGTAGGGCTGTTGCAGGGATAGGCGCCTTTTTTGTCAGTACTGAATGACCCTTGCCTTTCACTCTCATCTGCTTAGAGCTGGGGAGAAAAGCAGAAACCCATTTTAGCACTGTTGCTGTGACTTGACTTGCCTCTGTCACTCTTCTGTATTTTCAGCCACAATGTTCCCATGGTTGCCTGAAGAACCTACTTTCCTTCCCAGCACTCTCCCCACGACTGCTCCAGGATGCAGCACAGGTGCTGGCTATCACTTGCTGCATGGCTTTAGTGCTGTTCTTGTCTGTGATTGGATCAGATTCCATTTAGGGGCTGAGGACAAAGTAGATGATGCTGGATGTATGCCGAAAGAAAACAGTGGGGTTTTCCCCACTGACCATCATCCTTGCCCCTAGGATTTGGTTCATTCTCTTGCTGTGATGCCCCTTTCATCACTGAAGCCCCTCAGGGAGTGTTTCCCTGTGGGATGGATGCCCCCTGCCTGTTTTTGCTTCTCTGAGCTCCCTCCTCTCTTTGATGTGTCCTTCTGCCTGTTTACCTCTGTGCTTGCACGAGTTTCATGTCACAAGGCTGGGTGTGACAGTGTGAAATTCATGGCGATCCTACAATTTCACTGCTTTAGTGGAGACATACTAGTAGCAGGTGGATGATTGGACTAGATAATCATAGAGGCTTTTTCCAACCTTGGTGATTCTGTGATTCTCCAAGTCTTAGCCTGTGTGTGGCCAACCACACAGTGCACACAAATCCTGCCAGGCACAGCTGCCTGAGCACCCCAGCCTGTCGCATGGGATTGCTAAATCCCTGTTCCTTCCTTGGCAAGTGGCATTACCTCTCCCTCAAGCATTGCAGGCTGGTGATGGACATGGGGACTGCATTACCACCCACCACCCCATATGGGAAAAATGGATGTGGGGGGGTTGTGGAGAGCCCAAGGGATGCAGGAACTGACCCTCACTTGGGGTTGGTGAAGTGACAGCAGTTTGCTTTTTCCTTTTTTAGGTCCCACTGCTCTTCCCTGGAACCATCCTGCCCTGTTACTGGAAAGGACTCAGTGAGGTTTCCCATCTTCCCCTTCCTTTGGCATGGTGCACAGAGCTGGTACATGGATGCCTGGGAGGAGATGGATGAACCAAATGCTGTGTGGGCTTTAAATTCTCTGAGCTGATGCCACAGGGCCTGACAAACTGCCTAAGGAGAAGTCACAGACCAAATCCATCAAGCAAATAACTGGAAATTCAACTAATAAAACAGAGCTCTTCATGCTCTAAGTTCAACCAGGCAGCTGGTATGGGTAATCTGATACAGGTGTTCCTTTTGCTTTCCCCTCTTGTCACCTGCAGGGTCTGGGTGCTTAGCCAGTTCTGCTGTGAGCTGGTTTATTTGTAACCCACTTGTGGTTGGTTTCAAATGACCCCATTTCTTCCAGAAACTCTCCTAAGCCTTCCACTGCACAGGGTATCACACTATGGAAAAGGAGAGCAGGAAGAGGCTGATGGGCTGGCAAAGGAGGGGTGAGACTTGAAGGGAAAACCCTAAACTCCCTGTAGTGCTGCTCTCAGCGATAGCATTTGTTGGCTGAGCAGATGACAGCCTTCACCTGGGAATGGGTCAGAACAACTAGGGCAAAAGCAGAATCTGTATTCAGGGATGTGCACCCTTCCTGGGTTGCAGCAGTTTGCTCTTCTGTCTGTATTTCCTCCCCTGATGTACCCAAATGTTCCAAGTATCGGCTCCATCACTAAGTGCCTCCACCCACAAACAACACAGGAATGCAAACCACAAACTCTTACTGAAATGTTTATTAAGATTGAAATTCAGAACAACGGATTGGAACACAATGTCTTGTGGAGTAGAATATCTCTAAATTGATTTTTGTTTTCTATGCATAAATGAAAAAAAAAAACAAGATTATACAAAAAGAACAGAAAGTGCAGAACACAATAAAACAGTTCTCATGCAACAACTCTTTTTTTTTTTTAACCTTAAAACAGAAAAAAAGCTCAACAGTGTAGAAATAAAAAACATACATACGTTATGCCGTCTACGCACTCAAACATTCATCTGTGACATTACTTTTCTTTATCCCTTTTTCCTCATAAAACTTAATGTTATGTGTTTAACACATGCTTATAAACATTGCTAAACTCAGCAAGAGCTATTATAGTGCCCCAACTTAATAAGTTGATAAAAAAGTAGTTGTCGTACGGCCAGTTCACACAGGAACTAAATATTCTCTTTTTTATTTTTTCTGCTATGAGATGCCTATATGCAGCTTTCTATTAATATGAGGCATTTAAAATAAGCTGGTCATTTGGCTACCAAAAGGGCTTAGTGTTCATGTTACATCAGAATAAAGAGTAATAATTGGGAACTGCCAATTTGTTAATAGCTCAGTCTTTCTGGTTTTGGGGTTGTTTACTACAATTTGGCTACCACTGAGTTGAAAAGGTGCAGGCTAAGGGGCTGATTTGCTCAAGGAAGGCTTTGCTTTCAGAACTCTACCCCTCAACTCCAAAATTTAAGGACAACAAGTCAGAGAATGCTGAACTGAACCTGTGTCCTGGCCTTTCTGTAAAGCTTTAGCAGGCCACAAACACAGCAAAAGCCTTTGAATTTGAGAAGAAACTGTTTGTTTTTTTTTTTTTTTGAGGGAAAATATTTGCCACTAAACAGCTGTAATTTTCATCCATGTCAGACCTCTCCATGGAGAAGAACAAGGCTACAGGACAGGGAGAAGCAGCCAAATACAGACCACCCCCTGGAAATGCAATTGAAATCACATAACAAACTGAATATATGAACCCTACTGCTCGAGCAGACTGAAGCCACGTGCTACTGCCACATTACAGAAGGACAACTGAGCCTTAGAAAGTTATCTAATTTCTGAACTGCCCAGCCTGTTGAGCCTCTAAAGCCAAACAGCAGTTGGTACCTGAGCTCCTGCAGCTTGCCTCTGGGAACTGCTTTTTCTTGATGCAACATGAGAAACAGAAAACTTTGGGTAGCATCACGTTTTAAAATGACCATTTTCAACGCACTTCACGAATGTTCAGCTTTGTCATTTAAGAATAACAGCTAGAGGACTCTCTGTTACCGTAAAGTTTCTGCAAAGAAAAATAAAATTTGGTATCTCTTCTACACAGTCATTCATAACATTTCTGTGCAACATTTGGTGTTCATTACATTTATTTGGCCTATTTAAAGGAAGCAAGAACAAAACAGCTGCAAATAAAACCAACTTCTCTTTCACAACGGATACTTCAGATGCCGAAGCTGCTACATGTGCTTGGAATATCATGCAGGAATTCACTTACTCACTTAAATAGGATATATATTTATAGATGAACTCGTCTCGCATCAGACAAGGATGAGGGGAAAACCTGGAAGAACTCAGTTGAAAACATTGTCGAGTACAGTGACAAAGAGCACACAACCACCAACAGTATTTTGGCCCGAACAGTGTGTATATGGAGCTATATACACACAGACACATGCACACACACACACACACACACCTAAAAAACTCTCAGTGATTGAACTAGAAACCATCGCAGAGTGGCTGGTGAGTCAGCTTCTCATTTAGAGAAAAATTACTGAAAAGAGGAGCGATCACCAAAACTGCTGCTCCCTGCGACGTGACTGCCTGCCTGCCCAGCATGGAGGAAGCTTTCCCAGACATCAACCACAACTTCCTCCACCTTTACTGGCAGGTGTGATCTCAACCCACATTGCTGCAAGGAGATGCACCACAGCCATGAAAAGCCTGCCTTCTGTGATGCTGATAAGGGTGATGAAGGCCAAGCTCAGCACAGGGTGGGCAGATTGCGTTTTTAATGATGGAACTGAGGCTTTATTGAGGTATCTGGCAATAATCATTACTGGTGCTGTTGTCATTCAAGTGCTCAGGGGATTTGGATGAGATGGGAAAGGGATGAGGAAGGCTCAGCCGCGCTCACCACGGCTCTGCAGTTGAAGCTGGGAGGGTAAATGCCAGCTTCCCTCTGAGAAGGAATTATTTCAAACTGCAGGGAAGGGCTCCAAAGGAAAGGGGAAAAGGACACTCTGTGTTTCAAGGAGCACTAACCTCTGCTGGATTTACTGGCTTCCTCCCTCCTGATGATGAACAACCCACATCTTACCACAACTGCTTACTGCCAGCGCTAGCCGACACAACCAGATTCGTATTATAAAAAGCCTGTTTGGGTCATAAATCTCTATGAAAGTCATCTAACCAGCAGGAAGGGAAACATTCCTAAGAAATTATTGCTTCTGGAATCTGTAATTGCCAGCCACAAACACTTTGAGCCCAGTAAGACTCTGGTGATAACCCAATGGTGCACAATCCTCACTGTGCCTTTCTGAGCGTTGCGGTTTGAGCTGCTCTGATTTCATGTGAAATACTTCAGGATGTGCAGCTTGCTGACCGCAGAGTCCTAGTGAAACACTCAGCTCTATCAGTGTCTCATGGAGGGGCGTTGCACGCCACCCAAGACTGCAGCAAAATTCATTAAAATTGTTTACAGTATAGAGCAACTTGGAGTGAAACCAGAAAACCACAAACCTACTGCAGTGAAGGAGATGGAGCACGCAGGATAAGTTGGACTGTTCAGTAATACTGGCAAGCAACAATGATTCTTGCTGTCATCAGGAATTAAAGTAAAGCCCCTGCAACTCTCTCTTCTGCAATAAAGATGTAAAATCTAATTTATATTTTAATTGTCACAAAAAAAAAAAAAAAAAAGTTCTGTATTAAAAGGTAAAGGATGCATTTAGAAATAAATGAGTGCCCACTCTACCCTGAGATGTGCCAGGGTAAAAAGAAAAGTTCTCAACTTCAAGAGAAAGCATTAATATCAGCAGATGTCGGAAACGATCCCTGCGAGCACAGGGGAAGCGAGTGCAGTGCTTTCACAGCCTGGCTGAGGGACAGGAGGAGATGCTTTGGCAGGGGCTGCCCAAAGTTAGTTCTTCTGGCAATACTACAAATACTTTGGCATGTTTACAATGGATAATTATTTCCTTCGGTTTTGTAGGGCAGTGAAATAGAGCTTCCTGCTACAAAGCAGTGTGCATATTTATGTGTTACAAACACACTAAACAATGCCATAAGCAATCCCATATCTGGATTTTAATGTCAGTTCCTAGAAATGAAGCTGGGACAAACTGGACCTGCTCTGCCTTTGACTGAAACTCCCTAGGTTTGAGATGTCATTCTCCCTCCTCACCGCTTGCCATGACACAGAGAACTAAATAAACGCATGCAACATCAGTCTGCAAGAGGGAGCCTCAGCATCTCCTCCCTCCTTGCAGCTGGACCTTGGTGACTAGACTGTGCTGTGAAAGAAACCCTGGCTTACAAAGGTGCTATGCAGAGCAGTAGTGGTTGGAAGCTACATTCACCATCAAAGGATCTTGTGAGTGGTGGGGAAATAGGTAAGGCTGGCAGCGACCAGAAGAGCTATAAAAAGTGTAGCAGAACCTTGCAAGAAATAAGGTTCACATAAGGAGTACTTGACAGTGTTCATTTAAACAAAAGCAGAATCTTCAGGAAGTTTTAAAAATAAAATAGTAAAGCCACTTTAAAATGTCTAACTCAGCATGTATTTTACACGAATGCCAGTTATAGGGTGAAATATAACACGCATCTCTTCTATATATATGAATATCACCAGAATATATTAAATGTAACTGAGATGATAAAATTCACGGCAGAAGTTCAGTTAAAGTACTTCTCACAACTGCTTTCTTCAGTAAGGTCTTACATTCTTCAGTAGTACTATTCCCCTGTCAGAACACAGTTCACAGTATGTGTTCTAGATAAAAATAATATTCACCTTAAAAAAAAAAAAAAAAGACTTTTTTGAGACGCTTGGAAAAAACCAAAAAAAGAAGTCCCATGCGATTCCATGTACTTTAGTGCTCGGAATTCCACCAGCCTAAACACAGCACTGTCACTCTTGATAGCAGAGGACATCACACTGACAGCCTTCAGCTCACAACACACGTATTGCCACCAGGAATTCGTCACCAATGCCAGCCAAAACTGCATGTCAGCTTCAAATATACCAAAGCATACATTTCTTAAATACATCAACAATTCAAGTAATTTATTAAAAACTGCTTTTCATTTTGAAATATATATTTTTCTTTCGAGTGACTATATTGCAGCATGATTTACACATGCAGTTAAAAGTACTGTAGTATCACAAGTTTGAGGCAGCAGAAATCTTACGATGAGCTGTGATTTGTCTGTTTATAGCACAAGGACTGACTGCAGCCCGTAGGTCCACGCCAAAATGAGGAAACAGCATCACAAACTCCTTAGAAGACGACAGATGGAAGTTCAGTTTCCGAAGTTGCTTTAAGTGGCTGCCGGATCTCTCAGCTTTGTCTGCCCACAGACCAGGGCACTGCCAGCAATCCAAATAAAACTGTAAATCAGATTAGCTCAACTCTTTTAAACTCTTCACAGAAAATGTCTTTGCACTGCAGCTATGTCCTGAACCAAGGAAGGGGCACAGAGGTTGCGCTGATGAAATTGGTAGAGCAGCTCAGAAGAGCTCCAGCCTACAATTCCTCCAAGACAGGGACTGGAACAGCAACACATGTGAGTGGATTGGATTTTAAGGCCTAAAAACTGTTTCTGACACAAATTTCTATACAACCAGACTATGCCATAAAGTTACAGAGGTAGGCCTTTGGTTCACCTTGTTGTACTGACTCTGTGCCTTTAACCTGACTGCTGCGTTCCCAGCCTGGAGGTTAAAGGAGCAAAAAAGTGCAAGTAAGCAATGACTTCCTTCCACCAAATGAGAATTTGCACACCCATCCCACAAAGCTGACCCCAGGGACACCCTCCTCCACGGCAGCTTCATCCAGATATGATTAAGTTTAAATGCCAGGAAAGCCCCAGAGCTCACCAGTAGGCAAAACTCCCAGCTAAAAATTGTCACAGCGTATTCCCATGACATTCATCAAATTCAGCACTTGCAATAAAAACCTGTGAGTGCTGATCACCTCTTCCAGCTGCTGTCCTTCTACCTACAGTTCACATCATGCACCCAATGTCACCTACAAGCAGCAAATTTGGGAGTAATTGTTGAGCTGTAAGACAGAAAGGATTCACAGCAGTTTCTCAGAAACTGCAGTAATTGCTTTTTTCCTTGAAAATGAAACAATTCTGTAGTAATTGCACTAACGAAAATATGACGTCTAAAATTAACGTTCAAGAACTGTAGCTGTCAGACCAATAATATGCTTATGAAAAGAATTGATCATGATGTTTAAGCATTTCATTCAGCTACTGCACTGGTGAAATTGGAAATGTTCAGACAAATAAACAGCAGGAGACTGTAAGTCAAGATAGCTTCCATTTTCAGTTAGTTTAAAAACAGCCGAAAACTTAATTTTTCTAACTGCTAATTGTATACACTGTCTCATGCAGATTATTAAAACTTATTTGAAATCTAAATGTTTTGGTAATAAAAAAGTGTTCAGAAATGACATTTCTAAGTTGTAGAGAAAGCAATTAGCATCACAGCTACCTGTTCAAACCTATATTAAGGACTACAGAACTTCATTTACATTTTGCATGAAACTGCCTTTTCTTCTGCAATTTTAGCTACAAGTAGTGAAGATCCTAATTTGTTTTCCTGGGAAAAAAA